TAAATATAAACTGTCTAAATCAAATAGTTAATAATAGATTTATGTATATAAATTTTAATAGATTTTGTAGAATGTTTTTTAGTAATAGATAGCCTGGGCTGTAATAACTGATATATAGTTATATGCTGTAAATAGCTCTAAATTTCTGTTCTTATCTGTGATGTTCACTAATACTCTTTATAGGGTAATTAAATCGTTAACTAACTGACAAATATGTTAATAATTTCTATTATAATAACTAAAATCATATTAATAATTACTGTAAATAAACTCCCAAACTTGTGTATGCATGCAAATATCCTAGACGGATATCGCGTGCTTTGTAAATGATAATAAAATAAAATGTATATCGGGATTCAGACAATAACTCTGAAAAATACACTCATGGACAAAACTTAAGGAAGTTGTACCTTTTAGCATGTATATCTGTATTCAGACAATAACTCTGAAAGATACACTCATAGACAAAACTTAAGGAAGTTGTACCTTTTACCATGTATATCGGGATTCAGACAATAACTCTGAAAGATACACTCATGGACAACACTTAAGGAAGTTGTACCTTTTAGCATGTATATCGGGATTCAGACAATAACTCTGAAAGATACACTCATGGACAACACTTAAGGAAGTTGTACCTTTTACCATGTATATCGGGATTCAGACAATAACTCTGAAAGATACACTCATGGACAACACTTAAAGAAGTTGTACCTTTTAGCATGTATATCGGGATTCAGACAATAACGACGTAAAACGGTGGACGAGTGGGTAACACCCTCGATTCCCGACAGTCATGAACTGGGATTGAATCCCGCGTTAAAATTTTGTTTAATATGTGAATAACCTTCACATATTATTCACTGTTTCAATTATCATGAACTAGGTTGCTCTTGTTGAGCGGTACCTATTAATGGGATTTTGAACCGATAGACTTAAGGAAGTTGTACCTTTTACCATGTATATCGGGATTCAGACAATAACTCTGAAAGATACACTCATAGACAAAACTTAAGGAAGTTGTACCTTTTAGCATGTATATCGGGATTCAGACAATAACTCTGAAAGATACACTCATGGACAACACTTTAGGAAGTTGTACCTTTTAGCATGTATATCGGGATTCAGACAATAACTCTGAAAGATACACTCATGGACAACACTTAAGGAAGTTGTACCTTTTAGCATGTATATCGGGATTCAGACAATAACTCTGAAAGATATTACAGTGACCTTTATTGAAGATACACGAGAGCTAACCAAGTATGAACAGCCTCTGTCTCTTAAAAAAAAACACAGACGATCAAAGACTTTCCACTTCCTTAAGTTTTTTCCCATGTGTATATATAACTTAAGGAATCTGTATATATAAAAAAAGAGCAGAATAATACCTATATCCTAAGTATATATATAATATTATATCAAAATAAGTATAGCGCGCTAGATCAAGGTCTTTGGGTTATATAAATTCTACAAGACCGTAGTCACCGTTCGGAGGAGCTTAATGGAATCATCGAATGTCGTGGTCCATTTGGACGAGGAAAGCGAAGACTAGAACACGGCTGATTCCACACTCGTCTTTTCAGTGATACACTAACCTATGTACGGTGTGGCCACTGGACTTGTGACGGACCTGGAGGCTGTTGTTGGGTTCTGTGCTGCCTGGAGTATAGGAGCTCCTCCTATGCTTTCTTCCTGTGGTGAATCTGTATAAGACCTGTGGTCTTAATAAAGCTGTATGTGTGTATGACCAAAGAGTATTTAAGATCCAGCTTTTCCAGTTTCGATTCCTAAGATACATTCCTAATAGGATATCTGACTGAGGTTTAGGGAGAGGTGTTCTCTTACTGGAGATTTGCCTCAGTAAAACTACCTCTATGTATAAAGAACAACACCTAGTTGCAAAGCCGAAGTCTTTTAGGGAGAGGTGTTCTCTTACTGGAGATTTGCTACAGTAGAACCTCTCTGTAAAGGACAACACCTATGTTTAAGACAGGACATTTCTTGTCCCATGGCTATCTTAAATCAAAATCTACAGAATATTTCTCAGTATCACAATTTCCTGTTTATCCTTAAAATAAATTAATCATCCTCAAGACATTTGCTTAAGAAAAAAACACCTACTATTTCAACACAAGACAATTACATCAATTTTCAAGTCAATAATGGAAATAAGCGACAAGAAACACTAACCAAAAAAAAAAAAAGAAAGTTAGAAAACATCCAATCAGGATACAGTCTAAATTTTTAAACAAGGTAAAATCAATACAATCTAAATGGTTACATCACGACAAAAATAAAGCAATGAAAGAAAGAAACAATGAAATAAATGATTTTGTTTAAAGAAAAAGACCTATTACCAACACGTTATCTCCATTCAAGGCAATTCTATCCGTGAAAAATCAATGATGATAGAATGGTCAATTTAGAGTATAGGTTACTTTGGTCATTTCAGCTACTGACTAATGGGGATATAATCAATGACTGCAATGGTGGTAAAACTACCTAATAATATAGTGCAGACGACTTCTGTGGTGTCTTGAGAAAATTGTTCTTTGAGGTAAACGTTTATGTAGTCGTTTGATATTTTACCTAAATGGTATGGAGTGGAAATAACGTCTAAACCTTGACCTGGAGTCTAAGTGAAATATTCAGTGATTGCCTTGACGGCTTTCTAATTGTATTTTCTATACAGAAGAACCTCTCTGTGTAAAATACAGCACTTAGTTGCAGAGCCAAAGTGTTCTTTAGAGAAATATATATCTCTTTCTGGAGAGTTGCTGCAGTAGAACTACCTCTCTGTAAAGGACAACACCTAGTTGCAGAGCCAATGAGGCCTTTACAGATAGGTATTCTCTTACTGAGATTTACTACAGTAGAACTACTTCTCTGTAAAGGACAACACCTAGCTTAAGAGCCAAAGTGTTCTTTAGGGAGAGGTGTTCTCTTACTGGAGAGTTGTTACAGTAGAACTACCTCTCTGTAAAGGACAACACCTAGTTGCAGAGCCAATGAGGCCTTTACAGAGAGGTATCCTCTTACTGGAGATTTACTACAGTAGAACTACTTCTCTGTAAAGGACAACACCTATTTTCAGAGCCAAAGTGTTCTTTAGGGAGAGGTGTCCTCTTACTGAAGAGTTGTTAAGGAGTCCCTGTAAAGGACAACACCTCGTTGCAGAGCAAAAGAGAGTGTTTTGTAAATATAAAAGGTCTTAATAAAGCTTGTTGTTGTTGTACATTGCTGATTACTGGTACTATTACTGTTATTCCTGTATGTATCCTACATTTCTGTGCTTGGAGAATCTGTATAAGACTAAAAGATCTTAATAAAATCTGAGGAAGATAAAAGATTTTTATTGTAATTGAGAAAATAAAACTTTAACTGCCCGAAGTGTCTATTTTTAAAAATAAATTAATAAAACTTGTTGCTGTTGTATAATTTTAGATCAAAAGAAAGTAAATACGTTTTTGAAAAAGTTTCAGATAAACTTCCGGGTGAACTTTAAGGAAAAAGATTCCCCCTTTCACTTCCCTCCCTTATCAAGTGTAGATTACCAAAGTACCATCTTTTGTAACTTCCTTGTGAGATAAAAGAATAGAGATTCCCTGAAAGAAAGATTTTTCTGAGGAGAACATCAAAGGAGAGAGGCACATATCTCTATTTACCCTAATTAACTTCATTTTACCTTATTTGGTAACTTTTATTTACTTCTGGGAATGAACTGGGAAATAATTGACTGTATTGAATCATCCATTGATGAGCTCTACTCTTCCCCGGCAGACACCATCAAAAGTCTCAAGCTTTACAAGCTTGATACCTTAGTGTGATTGAGTGGAGATAAGAAAGAAGAAGAAGGAAGACTTCTGGGAATATAGATGGAAATTTTACCGGGAGGATATTGATCCAAAGAGACAAAGGCCACCTCTCCCGTCAAAATAGACGTCAAAACCAGACGCTATCTATTTACCGTCGTCGTCGCGGTGGGCGCTTTTCAGTTTGCCAAAGCTGTTGTTGTGGCTTTGTTACCGACCCGAGGCCGCTAGTTTGCGGCGACGGTAAATAGATGGCGTCTGGTTTTGACGTCTATTTTGACGGGAGAGGTGACCTTTGTCTCTTTAGATACTTCTGGGAAAGTACATTTAGAGTAGAGGTCGGTGGAAAGATGGTCTAAGCCAGGGATCGGCGGCAAATTGCGGCTCGCGAGCCACATGCGGGTCTTTGGATGTGAAGCTCTTTATATAGTTCCATATGTAAATATTATTTATGTGAGTACTGTTTATTGTTGGCAAGGAAAATATTTTTGTGGCTCTTTAAAAACTTTGAAATTTTTTAAATTGTAATTTTTGACTCTTCCGACTCAAAAGTTTGCCGACCTCTGGTCTAAACCATTGGTTTTCAACCGCTACGACCCGGGTTCGTTTCCCGCATTGAGCACTTTTTTTTTCTGATAAAAAAAAAAAAAAAAAAAAAAAACTCTAATGGCCCCTGATTCTTGCAAAAGTCCAACCCCACCAGCGAGTGCAAGTAACCAAACGGGGCTCTGGCACATTTGTAAGTGCAAAGTCGAACTGCTTTTCACATGTGTAGACACGTGGTGCACCTCAGTAAAAGCAGTCGCCTACCGCTACCCACCATGATTATCAAGGCCTGTACCACGGGCACTAGAGATAAGCAAAAAAAAAAAAAAAACATTTAGTATCAGGTCATGGAAATAATTTTTAAAGAATGCAGAGGCGATTTTTTGTTCACACTTGGTTATCTCGTGTCTACAATAAAGGTCACTGTAATATATTTCAGAGTTATTATCTCAATCCCGATATACATGCTGAAAGGTACAACTTCCTTAATCACTATTTACTTTAATTGAGCTGATAAAATTAAAATATTACGTATTTACATATTTACAAAATTTTTTAATACCGGCCAAAAGAAAAGAGAAAATATGGTTTTACGGGCAACTAACCAAAGTAGTGTATGATTAAATAAAAAAAAAAAAATGCGACGGCCGGGAATCGAACCCGGGTCAACTGCTTGGAAGGCTAACCATTATACCACCGTCGCTTAGGAAAAATGTCCAAAAAGGCAAAAAAAAAACAACAACAAAGGAATTTATATATTAGGAGTACAAATAAGTTTTGAGGGATTTTTTCTATAAATTCGAAGCTTTATTCAGAGACATCAGTACAATATATTTCATTCAAAGTATTGTCCATCTTTAGCTACGACTTTTTTCCATCTTTCAGGCAGCATACGGATTCCGTGTCGAAAATATTCCTCGTCTTTTGAGGCGATCCAAACATTGACCCAATTTTTCGCCTCTTCGTAAGAAGTGAAGTGCTGCTCGGCCAGGCCATGTGTCATCGAACGGAACATGTGGTAGTCTGAAGGAGCAATGTCTGGTGAATACAGCGGGTGGGGTAGGACATCCCATTGAAGCGCCTCCAAAGGCTCCTTGACAACTTTTGCAACATGTGGCCGAGCGTTGTCGTGCTGATAGATCACCTTGTCATGTCTTTTGGCATATAGTGGGCGTTTAATCTTCAATGCTCGGCTTAATCGCATCAATTGTTGTTGGTAACGTTCTCCAGTGATGGTTTCGTTAGGCTGAAGTAGCTCATAGTAGATCACTCCAAGCTGATCCCACCAGATGCACAGCATTAGCTTCTTGCCATGAATATTCGGTTTGGCCGTTGAAGTTGATGCATGACCGGGCTTAACCGACGATTTTCTGCACTTTGGGTTGTCGTAGTGAATCCACTTTTCGTCCCCCGTTACGTTTCGATGCAAAAAAAACCCTTCCGATTTTGTCTTTTGAGCAGTAGTTCGCACGTTAAAATACGGCGCTCGATGTTTCCTGGCTTGAGTTCATATGGAACCCAATTTCCTTGTTTTTGCACCATACCCATGACCTTGAGACGGTTCGAAATCGCTTGTTGAGTCACTCCCAAGGTTTCAGCGAGCTCCTCTTGAGTTTGGCTTGAATCTTCGTCCAATAAAGCCTCCAACTCAGCGTCTTCGAACTTTATTGGCCTCCCTCCGCGTTCTTTGTCCCTGGTGTCAAAATCGCCACTTTTGAAACGCCGAAACCAGTACTCACATGATTTTATTGATAGAGCATGTTTACCATATGCCTCACACAGCAATCGATGTCCATCAGTTGCACTTTTCTTCAAATTAAAACAAAAAAGCAGCGCTTCCCGCAAATGGTGTTTTGTTGGCAAAAAGGTTGACATGGTTAGAGCACCAAAAAAAAAAAAAAAGTTCCTTACACTTGAGTGAAAAGACTTCTTCTGATTTTCTTGGGGAAATGATGAAGCCTTAACATGAAACCTTACAGGGTCCGATGCTATTTATATAATATTTGTTGTGGCTTCTTTTGCAAATCCCTCAAAACTTATTTGTACTCCCAATAGTTTAAAGCCACGTTATTTGGCGGTCGACTTTACAGAGTGTGTTTGTTCTAGAAAATATAATTAAAAATAAAGTAAAAAATTATATATTACTTTTTTTTTTAATTATGAAAAATATTTAAAGTTGTATATTGAAGAAATTTGCGTGAAAGTTTCAATATTTCTACAGCCCTTATACTGCAATGATTAGAAATTTAGGAGGAGAAAAGTCCGACCACACCTCTCTGCGGTCCCCCCTGGACTCTTGGAATATTTGACCAAATTCTGGTTCGTTTCCAAGGTGACTAACGTGTGGCAACGGTATCTATTTTCCAATAAAGAGCAATTGCTGCTGCTGTGATAGAGATATACGGAGACATCTGAGGCTCTTCATTGGACACAACAACAACAACATTAGAAATTTAAAGAAGGAAGACGTATGGCTCATCAGTGGTGAACCCTCGTTCTTTCAATTTATAATCATTACAGTAAAAGAGAGAGCGCTGTAGAAATGGATTTAAAAAAACAAGATGATATTTTCAAAAGTTTTCCAATAGTTTAATATAATAATATTTTTTATAATTGATGAAAATCAAAGGAATTATCCGAAAGCTCATCATTTTCGATTTTTAAAGAAATAAAAAGAATTTAACGCAATATTTTGGTTTTTATTTATGTTTGTATATACACTCGTTGACAAAATTTAAGGAAGTGGAAAGTTTTTTATATCGCCGATCGTCTGTTTTTTATTTTTTTATTTTGAAGAAGAAGATGAAGAGACTGTTCACACTTGGTTATCTCATTTGTCTTCAATAAAGGTCACTGTAATATCTTTCAGAGTTATTGTCTGAATCCCGATATACACGATAAAAGGTACAACTTCCTCAAGTTTTGTCCATGAGTGTATCTTTCAGAGTTATTGTCTGACTCCTGATATATATGGTGAAAGGTACAACTTCCTTAAGTTTTGTCCATGAGTGTATCTTTCAGAGTTATTGTCTGAATCCCGATATATATGCTAAAAGGAACAACTTCCTTAAGTTTAGTCCATGAGTGTAACTTTCAGAGTTATTGTCTGAATCCCGATAAACATGTTAAAAGGTACAACTTCCTTAAGTTTTGTCCATGAGTATATCTTTCAGAGTTATTGTCTGAATCCCGATATACATGCTAAAAGGTACAACTTCCTTAAGTTTTGTCCATGAGTGTATCTTTCAGAGTTATTGTCTGAATCCCGATATACATGCTAAAAGGTACAACTTCCTTAAGTTTTGTCCATGAGTGTATCTTTCAGAGTTATTGTCTGAATCCCGATATACATGCCAAAAGGTACAACTTCCTTAAGTTTTGTCCATGGGTGTATTTTTCAGAGTTATTGTCTGAATCCCGATATACTTGCTAAAAGGTACAACTTCCTTAAGTTTTGCCTATGAGTGTATCTTTCAGAGTTATTGTCTGAATCCCGATATACTTGCTAAAAGGTACAACTTCCTTAAGTTTTGTCCATGAGTGTATCTTTCAGAGTTATTGTCTGAATCCTGATATACATGCTAAAAGGTACAACTTCCTTAAGATTTGCCTATGAGTGTATTTATTTTTATACCATCTCACACATAAATATGTTCCCATATATTTTTTATATCTTTAATTAAAGGCTGATATATTTAGGATGCAATCAATATATGTAAAAATTCTCTCTATATGGATTAGAGAGATGATATTAACACCAATATTGTGCGCAAATAAATAAACAAATATTTACAATTTGAGTACAAAACCATATCAAACCAAACGATATTTAACATTTTCGAATTTCCTCCATTTTGATTTGAATACAAAACAAACGACACAGCTATATATTCTCTAAGGCAGTTGACCAAGAAACGATGCCGAACGCTTCTGAGGGATTTGTATTGTTTTGTATTCTAGCCGCCGTGTCACAATGACCATTGTTCTTAAATAGCTCATTCTGGGACATTGCTCCACTTGGGAAGTCCACGAACAGATGAGACGTCGGATAAAGACCTCCCAGTGGACATGTTACACTTTTAGCACTTCCTTCTACCATCAATGCACTCATGGACAAAACTTAAAGAAGCTGTACCCTTTAGCATGTATATCGGGATTGAGACAATAACTCTGAAAGATACACTCATGGACAAAACTTAAGGAAGTTGTACCTTTTAGCATGTATATTGGGATTGAGACAATAACTCTGAAAGATACACTCATGGACAAAACTTAAGGAGTTGTACCTTTAAGCATGTATATCGGGATTGAGACAATAACTCTGAAAGATACACTCATGGACAAAACTTAAGGAAGTTGTACCTTTTAGCATGTATATCGGGATTGAGACAATAACTCTGAAAGTTATTACAGTGACTTTTACTGAAGAGATACGAGATAACCAAATTTGAACATAATTGTCTCTGTCTCCTTAAAAAAATAGACAACCGGCTACATTAAAATATGAAACTTCGTTAAGTTTTGTCTATGAGTCTAGATCTCCCACCAATGTTTTTCACCAGAAAGATCTGAAGCAATCTTAGAGACAAGTTTTTCCCAACAGGATAGTATTTATAGTTAAGACAATGATAATCCCTATTCCCTATAGAAGAAGTCAGGGAGAAGAGAGCTTCTTTATATTAAAGGACGGGGTGTAGAAGGGCGTCTTTCCCGAAAGCTTGTACGATGGTTTTCTCATATAAAGCAGTTCATCTACCCGACTTGTTTCTTCTATTACAGTAGAACCTCTCTGTAATGGACACCTAATTGCAGAGCCAAAGTGTCCTTTAGGGAGAGGTGCCCTCTTACCGGAGAGTTGATAATTATAGTAGAACCTCCCTGTAATGGACACCTAATTGCAGAGCCAAAGTGTCCTTTAGGGAGAGGTGTCCTCTTACCGGAGAGTAGCTAAAAACAGTAGAACCTCCCTGTAAAGGACACCTAATTGCAGAGCCAAAGTTTCCCCTAGATAGAGGTGTCCTCTTACCGGAGAGTAGCTAAAAACAGTAGAACTTCCCTGTAATGGACACCTAATTGCAGAGCCAAAGTGTCCTTTAGTGAGAGGTGTCCTCTTACCGGAGAGTTGCTAAAAACAGTAGAACCTCCCTGTAATGGACACCCAATTGCAGAGCCAAAGTATCCTTTAGGGAGAGGTATCCTCTTACCGGAGAGTTGATAATTATAGTAGAACCTCCCTGTAATGGACACCTAATTGCAGAGCCAAAGTGTCCCCTAGGAAGAGGTATCCACTTACCGGAAAGTTGCTAAATAGTAAAAATGGCCATTTTGCAAATGAAAACTGTCCTTTGTGGAGAGGTGTCAGGTAGCGGGGTGTCCGCTAAAGGGAGGTTCTACTGTATTACTTATTTGTGTGTCCCGGTTCAGTATTGGTCAAATCAAACAGAGAAAACGATACAATCTCCGCCATTTGTGATAAAACGTTTCAAGACCATCTACTTTCCTACATAGGAGCTACATAGCTTGAACAGTCGATGGAAAATACCGACTGGCCATTCCGGCATAGAAGCCACAAGGTCTCTGTGCCATCTGTGGAATGCATTTCCTGGCAATCTACCTCAATACATGGGAGATACAAGACCTTCTCTACCATCTGACATCTACAGACCATCTGTTTCTTGCATGAGAATCATCAAACCTCCTGTA